CAAAATCGGGTCATGATAAAAAAAAAATAAAAAAAATATTGGGAGTGATTCTGATTGTGGATTTTTGGTGAATCTATGTCCTGGAGTTTGATGAGCTGAACCTGAAACCTGAACCAGCAGCAGAGTGGAGGGCGAGTCGTCCTGCTGCCAGCAGGAACAAACCCAAACCAACATAAAGTCCAAACCTCCCGCGATCCACCAGCTCTTGGGTTTCCTCCTGAGTCTGAGGAATGGAAGCTGCAAAGAAAGAATCAAGAATAAATCAGTAGCTGCGTCTCCATTGATGTTAAAACTCTGTAAAATGAAATTATGAAAGAAAATTTGCTTCATGGAAACAACCCGATTTTGGAAAAACGCATTTAAGAAGAAGAAGAAGAATTTTCTGTGTCTTAACATTTGACTCATCCACGTTTTTAATGACTTATTGCATGAATAAAATTATTCACATGTGATTTTAATTGTATTTCTTATTTAATGGAAACACTGTATCTGTAAAATATTTTTTTTTTTAATCTTTTTTCATTTATGAAATATCAAAGACAGTTTGTAATAAACATTTGTAATGAAAATGCAGCTTTTCAGACCCAAAAATAAAGTGGAAAACATAAAAAAGACCAGAAAATAAAGATTAAACCATTTTTATCAGTAAAAACTCACCTCTGACTACAAGCTCCCAGTCTCTATGGTCTCTTCTTCCGTCAATGACGACGTAGCACCGGTACCGACCCGCATCGCTGAGCCTCACTTCAGCCAGGAGACACCGGATCCCTCCATTCCTGACCAGCTGGGGGTCACAGTGCAGTCGACCTTTGAACTCATCATCTGTGTACGTCTCATCTCTGCTGTCGAACCGATAAATCCTCCTCAGCGGCTCCATGCTCATCAGATCGACGTAGAGCCGGTCAGGCGGCGTGGCGTTCGGATCCGGACGGATCCATTTCAGCGTGACGTTGGAGTTCTCCTCGGCCTCGTAGACGTCCAGAGTTTCATTCACGGTGGGCAGAGATTTTCCTGCAGGAGTCAGAAAGAGACAGAAGCAAGAAATCACAACACAAATCCTCAGAAACACTTTGATGAAGTAGTTCTGATAATCTGATGCATCATCACACCTCCAAATATCCAGGATTTGATGTTTCAGACGCTGACAGACGATTTAAAACATTTTCTCACGAAGCTTCAGGTAAAAGTTTATTTAAAGGCTCAGATGAAAAGTTGTGATCAAAACACTGACAGGAAATAGATCCAGTGATATCAGATCTGCTAATTATTCCTAGAAACCTGAGACGTCCTTCATGCTCTGAGTTAAAGTTCAGTTTCAAACATTCAGTCATATTTTCTCACCCAGAGCAGCAGAACACAGAATCAGAACCAGGAGAGACGAGGAGGTCCGGTTCAGCATTGATGCTCTGTTAGAAATAATAAAACACATTAATTATAGACATTATTTCTACAAGTTATCACATGCAGAGACCAAAACATTTTACTCCAATAGCAGTAGCACTACTTCAACATATTTATACTCAAGTCAGAATAAAATAATGTTTGGTAAAAAGTTACTGATCAAATTATCAATCATTTAATATTTAAAATTACATAATCAGACAAACCAAAACATAAAGATTTGAGGAATTTTTTGATATTTAAAGAGAAAAATGACAATAATTTAAATAACAACAAAATAACAAAATTAAGAATTTATTATTTTTTTCCAAATCAGTTTCTTTCCATAAAAAACTTATAAAACTTTAACAAAAACTGCAGGTTTGTGTTTAATTCTTGGTTAAAACATGTTTGGTTTTTATTCAGTGGGTAGAAAATCCAGAAATTTGAATCAAGTTAGAAAAACTTCATAATAAAAAAACTCAAGTAAAAGTAAAAAGTAATGAAAACAACTAAAGGTACATTTGTTCTAAAAAGTTACTCAAGTGAATGTAACTGAGTAAATGTAACTAGTTTACTATTGATCTCTGATCACGTGATGATTACAGAGGATCATCATTTCAATATGGCGTCCAGATGAAACACAAAATGGAGGAAAATAAAATGTTTCACTTTGATCAGATCTGCAGACGCTTAATTAGTTTAAAGTTTAGTTTTAGTTTAAAAGTCATGCAGAAAACAGAGAGAAGTTTTAATTATGATAAAACTGTTAAAAACATGTTTGATCAAAGTGAAACTAAACATCTTAGTTCACTGAGTGTTTCTCTAATGATCGCTGTTACACAAACTGACGTTTTTCTGCAAACATGACGCAGAGAAAATATGCATTTATATCAAATATTTAAGAATTAAAAGCTGAAATGACCTTTGAACCGAAACCTTCATGCAAAAAGCAGCACAGTTATGAACAATAGGCCCATATTACAAAAATCAACAATTCTGCTTTATTTAATCTGTCTAGTCAAAACCTCTACAGTTTATTCCGTTTTATTAATAGAAAAATATTTTATGCAACAAGAAAAGAGCGAAACAAACTGGAACAGAAACATGAAGAGTCGTGATAATATTGCTGCTGAAACTTTGTTCCAACTTTAACTAAACCTTCATTTAATGCGTGAATTTTAAAAACTCTTTAAATCTGAAAACATGAATTAAAACTGACCGTTTCAGATGAACCGAGTTGAAGATCAGAGAAAATCTTCCTGATTCTGGGTTAAGGTATTGTCTTCAGCCCACCTTGTGACGTCATCGTCCTTCCTGTGTCTCTTAAAGGGGCAGACACACGTTCAGCCACCTGTTTATTCCACGGGATCAGTTTCTGTATTTTTGCTGGATTGTTTTTAATCATAACTAATTAATATACGTTGATTAAAGAAACTTTCAGACAAAATGGGCAAATAAACCAACGGAATGTTTCTAACCTACAGAACCATCTGTCGCCACTAGGGGGCAGGATTAGTTTGACCTGGTAAAAATATATGAATAAAGCTGATCTTAAATAAAATACAGAACTTTATTAGATACAAAGCCAACATAATATCATAATAACTACTGATTACCTGTTGTAATCAGTAGTAAACACAACATGTAAAATATGTAAATACAACAGTAACAACAAAGACAAACTATTTTCCCAGTTTCATAAATTTGACCTGCAGCCCAAATAAAGAGCAGATTGACTCATAATTAGACATTAAAGTTGAAACAAGTAAATAGTGAGAATTTCACTGAGGCTCATTAAATACACAAAAATGAAGAAAAACACATTGAATCAAAAATATAAACTTATGCAAAACAAGTTTTGACACTTTGAATAAATAACAGTTTTCTAATAAAACCTCAATATGTACATTTATAACTTTTCTACAATCAATGATCCAACACACACTGATTATGAGATCAATAATGAAAAAACAAAACCACACAGGCCTTCATGTTCAAAATTACAAGACTGTTTAAATAATAAATTAGAGCTCTAATTTACTATTTCCATAAAACATTAAATATGGCTTGTACTTTTAAATTCTTCACAACGATTCACACACTGATGGTGACAATAACAGCCTCAGCTGCCCTGGAGCAATTTAGCAGCGGTTGCTGCGGGTCGATGCCACTGGCAGGTGAAGTGCCTTGCTCAAGGACAATAAGAAAGAGGCAGATTTGAACCAGCAACATGCTAATTTCAGGACAAACTCTTAATACTGTTGTCACCACTGGTCTCTCCAAACACATGAAGTGAAACGGAATAAATTCATCTGAGTAACATAATAGCAGATCTTTGTTCTGGTTATAGACCAGAAATGATTTAAAACATGAATCTGAAGATATTCAATAAACGACTCAAAGTCATTATTAAAATATAATATGTGAAAGAGAAAAAGTTCTAACAAAAATGTTTTTTGTCAAAAATTTTGGTTTCTTTTTCTCCTTTTCTTCCTAAACCAAATAATGAATTTAGAATTAGAGACTTTAGAGCTGCTATGAGTCCCACAGTGATGATGATGATGACGATGATTATGATGATGATGAAGATGATGATGATGTTCCTTCCTCGTCTCTCTGGTTCTGCAGTCACAGTTGGTCTCCTTACCTATGTATAGCAGAAAGATTGACTTAGACTTGCACTTTATTGATCCCTTGGGAAGACTCCCTCAGGAAATTACCAGCAGCTTACAGGCAAAAAAAGAAAAAGAAGATAGCGCACAGTGAGCAAAGTGCAAAAGAATACAAAAATACAAGTTAAATACTAAGGTACACACTAAATGTGAGTAACCAAAACCTTAAATTATGCAAGAAACAAGGAATAAGAATATAAATACAACACAAAAGAATATATAATTTGACAGATAGATTGACCAGTAATTGTTTGATTTACTCAGTAAACAGAGTAAACAGTGTTTACTCTGTAAATGTTGAAAATCATCAACTATCAACTATATTTTTTTAACTGTTTAATCTGATTTGTTTTGAGCTCCTTATTGTTTAGCACTTTGAATAATGTTGTCATAATAACTTGTATAAAGTTTGACTTCTACATATTTAATGTGACAACAGCAGTTTAATAGAGTCTTGGACAAATGAACAACTTACCAGTTGTTCAGACTTGTGTAGTTTTTTTTTTTTTAAAACTACACAAAAAATAAGATTCACTGACAGAAATTAAATAAAAACCTTTTGAAGGCACAAGCTGGGGATCAAGTCTGTCAGCTTTTGCAGATATTAAAAAAACTTTTTAAGACAAATAATTTATCAAAATCTGAGTAAGAAACTAAACTACAGAAACATCTTTGGACTTAAACTTACATGATTCTTGCATCGTTATTTTAATCTAAAAAAAGATGATTAAATTTTAGACCTAATATGAACGGCTTCCTTCTGGGTTTAAGACATACAGTTTTTTATATTATTATTATTCACAGTTATAAACATGTAACAGTTTTCATACCATCAATGGTTTAAGACACTTTAGATCAGCTGGAAGATTCTAACTTTTTAGTTTGGTTGTTCTCGGTCCCGTAAATATATTCCTTCTTCTTCTTCATTTCCTCGGTTGACATTTCTCTATGATCTATGAAACACAAAACATTTATTAATAACATCATCTGATTGTTTGATTTCCCAAAGTTACATTATTATTATGATGGCTTGAATAAAAACAGCATTCAGTTTTTCTCAAACTCTCATTTTAGTTTTTATAAATAAAATTATCATCAATCAACAAAAAATAAATAAAGTAAAGCATTAAAGTTTTGACTTTTTCTAAAATTATTTGTCTCATTTGTTTCCAGATGTTTTTTGACAAAAATAAAACAAACCAGAAACCAAAGCATATTACAATAAAATGTAAACATGGTCATATTAAACTGAATATTTAATGTATATTCAGATGTCAGATTAAAAGAATATAACTTTAATGAAGGCAGAAGAAATGTCTCTCATTAAGCTCTAATTATAATCTTAAACATAATTTATTAGCTATCAGCTTCTCTGTTGAAGAAAACACAACAAAGAAGAGAAAATCTGAGTTTTGTGCAGTAAATAATAGTTTAATTTGTAGCATTTTATGAATGAATGTTGTTGTTTTCTGGCTGTTTCTCTTTAGTGCGTCTGGATCCACAGGTTGGACCCTCTGGTCTAAACCTTCATATCCTGTTCAGGTCAGTGGAATACTGGTGAGCCATGATGAACCCAGTCAGGTCACCAGTTCATTGCTGCTACATCAATGATCTAATATCTAGTCAGTCACATTCAGTCACTAACAAGGAAGTTCAGCTTCCTGGTTTGATGCTCAGCTGTGATGTTCAGTGACTGCAGCAACACAAACACATTCATTCATCTATATGAAGTAACTGCTTAGTTTATCACTGAGCAGGAAAATAAAACAGGAAATATTCAACATAAGTTATTAATTTGGAATTGATCCATTTCCACATGTATGGAGATGGTCATTAATTCACCAAAATCCTGCATGACTTAGAAAGACAATGACTGACTTACTTGGTTCACTTCTGCAGCAACGTACAACACAGAATATCATGATGATGATGAGTGCTGCTAGAACAGCCCCACCAACAAAAGTACCAACAATAACTCCAGCATCAGGTACTGTGACAAAAAAGAAAAACGTGTTTTTAACAATCCGCTTTTGAATATTTTGAATTAGATTTTGCATTTTGTTTTATTAATGAGATCAAAGTTGTGAATCAACAGTCACCTCATCATTCAGGTGTCACAGTTACTGCATCACACACACACACACCACACACACACACACACACACACACACACACACACACAGGTCTTCAGGTTTTATCTGCCCAGCTGAACATCAACATGTTATAACAGGAAAAGCCTGAAGATGAATATTCAACCCAATGAGCCTCAATGGCTGCAGGTAACAAAGAAAGTCTGAAACTGAGTCAGAGGGCCAGTAACCACTGACTTACGCTTGTACTTTATTGATCCCTTGGGAAGACTCCCTCAGGAAATTGAAGTTACTAGCAGCTCACAGAAAATAGTAACACAGTAAACAAAATACTAAAAAACAGATTAAATACAGATACACACTAAATGTACGTCGCCAAAACCTAAATTAAACAAGAAATAAACAAGGAAAAAATATAAATAAATACAGCACAAAAGGAAATATAAAAATTTGACAATCGACCAGTAATATGGTATTGCACTATATGGTTTGGTCAAATAAGTATGTAGACATTTACAGAAAAGTACAAGGGATCACTACTCCTTCTTCCCTCTGTCTTAACCTCACTGGTTACCTAGTTAAACATATTTACCTCTAGTATCAGTCGAGTCGCGTTGCGCTGCATTTTCATCTGTTGAATAATCACATTAAGAGTTATAGACATTAATATATTTATCTAGTTTGTCTTAAATGATCTTAATTTTACATAACTCACCAAGTTTTAGAGTAACGTTTCCCTTCTTGACTTGTCTTTCCAGTTTGGGAACAAAGCAAATATAACTCCCTTCATCCTCCTTGGTTACTTTGGTCAATTTGAGGGAAATGTTGCCTTTTTCAAACTCATCAGGGAACATGAAGGTTCGGTTATTGTACTTTGGATCTGAAGCTCTATCATCTTTAGTTTGGCTGCGATGCACATGGATTATTTCACCCTTGAATCTCCATTCGATTGTAAATGTGGTCAAATAATATGGAGGCTCCAGATGACATGGCAGAATGACGTCGTCTCCAACCTTTGCATGAATCAAATCATGACCAATAACCTTCACTGGAACTGGAAGAATAAACAAAGATTTTAATAAATCAACACTAATATTCCTGTTTGTTGTTCAGATAACATTTATACTTATTCTCCTGTAGGATCTTTACAATTGTGAAAAAAATTTAACTATCCCATTAATAGAGGTATTTCAAAATAAATGTGTTTTTTTGTTTATAAAAGTAAATCTACTAATTATTTATTTACCTCTGTAAAATTACCGATGTTTAACTCATGAAAAATAAAACCAGACATTTTACTGGAGAAAATAGTCAGGACTCCCTTTAACAGTCTTTTAGTTGATTTGGTTTTACTATATTGAAAACTCACCAAACTTGGCAGATGCATCAAACCTTCAGGAAATTTACATATTTTATGATTGTCACAAAAATCCCAACAGAAACGGTGCAAGAGCGCCACCTAATGTTGCTGCTTTCAATATGTTCAGAAACCCATGACTTGGTCAAGAGTCGAGGTGATTTCCAGTAACATTGTGATCTTAATTTATTTTATTCTTTGCTGAAGAAATCCAGCTACTTCTAATTGTTATGTCTGTAGAGAAACTGTCTGTCCATGGGGGGAAACTTTGCATCAGTTCAGGACATGAATGAATATCATCAGATTCAGATTATAATAACTGCAGCAGGTCACTAAACCAAACCAGCCTGGACTGGAGGCTCTGATGCACAGCAGGTTTTGATGCCACTACATTTTATTTGTTGGGAAACATTGAATGAAATGTATCATCTGCTGTTTATTGTCTTCCAGCTGAGCATTTGGTTGTGGAGCGATGGGAACCGTTTCGTCTCCTCAGACTGGTTTTCTGGAGAGCCTGATAATCATGGAGGCAACCAGCACTGATTACAGATGAACTATTCAGGTACAGGAAAATATCACAGCAGTTTGTCTTTCAGCTGGTCAGATGATGACTCATGGGGAAAACTAATTTACTGTGCATGTGAACTTTATCTGAACTTGAATTGTTTTGGTAGCAGTTTCCAAAAACATAATTTTAGTTTTGTCCCATATAGTGATAATTTGTTATTGTCAAACCTTTTCTTTAATTTACTGATTTCTATGGAAAGAAGTTATAAGTTTTCACCAGACTAGAATATTTGTGTCGTCAGCAAATAACACAAATTTAACACATTAGATACTTTACTTCTGTTGTTTATATACGAATTAAATAAAACTGGTCTCAGTACTGACCCTTGAGGTTCTCCACACAACAAAGTATTTCTGGACTGGACTTCAATTGTTGGTTACTCTCACTAGACCTGGTCCAATAGTAACGGGTCCAAACTCTCATAATGCTTCAGTTTTAGCACAAACCATAGATTTAGATGTTAGCATCTGTTTAGGAATATTAAAATTTGATTGTTTTGGGAGTTTGAATAGCAACACTATTAAATTTGATTGAAATATTTCACAATGGAAAAAAAAATAAAAATTTACACTGTTTAACATTTCAATTTACTTTGTAAAAATGCATAAATATCTTTATTTTATTGCGGCTAAATCTGATTCTATGAGTTTTATGCTACAATCTTTGTGTGTCTCACAAAATAGTCAGAAATTATCACTGATTTATTTTAAGCCTGGCCAACTAACCTCTTCCTCCTCTCCCAGATAGTGGAGGAAAAACAGCCACATAAAGTAAAGTGGGCCATTGCTGCGAGTTCCCCTCCCTGTGAGAGACTCGGACCGTGGTGATCATGGCCCTGAGAAGCTCTGGTCGTCGTCCTTTATTTACATTTCTAACATTTATGCACTCAAAGCTCAATCACAGCAGCTTCACTGTAGAGGAGGAGCTGAAGCCAAGAGCAAGGAAAAGGTATGAGCAGCACATACAAGATGGTGATTGTCAGCACTAACAGCCTTCTCCTGACTCTGGTTGGTTGAGTTTTATTTGCTTACAGATGAACATAAAAGTGCTGCATGTTTTGCTCTCAGCAGAAAATCCACTGAACCCTTTACTTTCATCATCCTGTGGGAATGTGTTGTTACATCAGTCCAGTCCTTTACATGGCCGTACTCAGGATGAATCTAAAGGGGCCAGTGGCCCCATAGACTGGAACTGGCCCAAGTATTGAAGATACTAAATATGTTTCTACTGATGATATAAGCTGGCACAGAAACTGTAGATAATTTATCCCTTATACCAATTTAACTTTTACCTTCACAGTTTCACTTTGATAATGAAATAAAATTAAGATGTTGCCCTTTTGGCTTCAGAAGAATTATGATAGAATCAGTTTTCATCTATTAGATCAGTTGAATTCACAACTCTATGCTGAGGTCGACCTTCTGACCTCTAGAGCTTAGAGACATGATCAAACATGAGCTTTAATAAAGAGAAGCTAAAACATTTCACTAATAAATAGTTTAATTTATGCTCAATAAAGACATAAAAAGTTAAAAGAAAGTAAAATAAACCCCAAATAACTCACCAGAAACGCTGAGTCGACATCCTGCCTTGTTGGATCCATCTTCAGTTTTCACGTCACACAGATACAGACCAGAGTCTTCAGTCCTCAGTCTGGACACATGGAGTCTGATTCGTCCTTCTCTGAGGACGTCTTTGTTGCTCTGGACTCGTCCTGAAAACTGATCATCCTGAGACTCTGGAATCTCAACTCCTTCATGAACCTGATAGAGAACTAAGACTCCATGATCCGTGTTCACTTCACAGGAGATGAACAGATTCTTCCAGGTTCCCTGAGTCTTGGTGGTGAAGGTCCACTCCAGAGTGATGTTCTGCTTCTCCTCTGCCTGATAGCTGCTCTGTGTCACATTCACTACAAATGTTGCTGCTGAGGAGACAGAGAGGGAAAGAGAGGAGCAGACACACTGAGAACTGGAACATGGGAGTCTTTCAGCTCCATCTAGAGAGCTTTCTGTCACAAAGACAAGATGGAGACTGACCACAGAGACATGAGCTGAGGATGAGGAGCAGCAGGATGCTGGACATCATCTTCATCCTGAAGAGGAAGAGGAGGAGAGACAGCACAACATCAGGAACATCTGGAACAATACAAGGAACAATTGGACTCATAGCAACTCAGTCTGACCTTTGACCTCAGCTTCTTCACATTGAAACTCTTGAAATTTCTGGTTCTAATCTGTTTTGAATACGTTATGGTAAAGTCAGTATAAAAATAGACAGTGATACTGCCACCTGGTGGCCATAAATAAACACAGCAGTGTTTCTGAAGATATTGATGGAAAACCCGCACTATGTGCGTCTGATTAGCCGCAGTTGTGAAAAAAGTGGGATAACTTTGCTGAAACACTTTGTTTGAGCCTTCACGGTGTCCGTAGTTCTCTAGAAGCCAGTAGTGATGGACCAGACAACAGAAACCTCGGCACATGCGCAGAGCGAACAAGATGAAACCCCGAGTCGGTGTGTTAGGAAAACCACGTGACCAATACATTTCCTGTGTTGTTTGGTGTCATGTTCATGTTCACCACAAGAGGGAGACACGTGTCGACATGTTTGTGAGTTTTGCTGAAGGAGAAACTTTGTGTTAGTTTTTGGCTCTTATTTGTTCTCAATAAAAACATGAGAACGTTCAGTTTGTCTCCAGTCTTTATTGAATTCACTAGTTAATCTGAACAAAAGGCAACATTTCCCACCTTCTAAACAAAACCAATCAATCACTTTGTAGCTTTTCCCATCCGCAGATCAACGTTTAATCCTTATTGATTATTGGCTTCATTTATCTGCAGAACATTTAAATTAAACTCAGTTCCACCTGCAGCAAAGCTCTACCAGTGAATGACAAAAATGTTATTTTTCAGTTAATTGTCTCTCTGAACAAAAACCTTCAGACTAAAAAGAAAGAAGTTTGATCATCTTCATCAGAAGTCTTCATCACCCGAGTCCGCTGATCAGTTTGAGGAAGAAAACAAGAAGTAGATCTATGATCATGTTCTAGTATTTAAGCTCTATGCTGCATTTAGAAACAGGCTGCAGGTTTGATCAGAGCCAGGATGATTGTCTGTTGTAGAAACTTTTCTGTTTTCCTGCTGAGTTATTGATGCTCCTCAATGAAACACGTCACACTGAAAAACTGAGACAACAAATGAAATAAATCAGACATACCAGAATCTCCGAGACATGAACTCCACCCATCTGCTGCAGTCCAGAGATCTGACTGCAAGTAACAGGATAAACTGGAATAAGAACGATGATGCATTTAAGGACGCCTCGGACAGACTGATTTAATGAGAAACACACAGACTGAACTTCTTACTGCAGTTTTTAAGAATATGCTTGATGAGATGCATCTGATATTCACAATGAAACTTTTTATTTTCGCTTGCATATTTTTGTTGTTGTTGTTATAATCAGTTTAATTTGTCCCCTAATAAATTCAACGTCCGAGGTTACCTGAACGCATGATTCATTTCTCCCGCTCTCTGGACTTCCTGGTCTGTTTCCTGCTGTCAGAAACATTTTGGCCCTTTTCGCTCAAACGGGTCTTAAACCGGAAACAACTTTCAGGTACAGCAGATATTTTTACACTGAAACAACAACAATCCTGCAGGATCGTACTGCAGATTCTGCACAGTTTGCTGCCTCCTCTGATTGTTACCTTCAGATATTCACATCTTCCTCACTTTGCAGGAAGTCAAACTGTAAAGAAAATAATAATAATAGCAGCTCAGTTCTGTTCTGGTTCAGCAGCTCTCATTTCATCTGACAGGTTATATTAGGTTTCCAACAGATTTTATTTAATTCTCTCTTTCTTTATTTTTAATTGATTCCACATTAATTCTACATTATTCCTTCCAAACATTATAAACTTTATTATTCAGGTTTAGTGAGAATTTATTTCTGTTAAATTTCAGTTCTAGTTTGGATTGTTGAATTTCTGATCACATCAACATTTAAACTGTTTTCAACAATAATTTCCGTATATTGATATTTTGTTACTGAGCTAATAAAATATTAAACTTTTCTTGTTTCTTTGTTTTCAGTGTTTTTCAAACTTTTCCCTCATTTGGATCTTTATCTTTAAAGTTAAATAAATAAACAGGAAGTAGAAACATAGAATTTGATAAAACATGTTCAATTAATTCATTAAAATCCATTAAAACCAGAAATGTTACTAAACTATTTCATGTTGTTTCCTGTAAACTGAAGTGAAGATCAGTGAGTGAAGCATCAGGATGAAGCTGCTGATCAGCTGATCAGATCAATATTCAATAATCACGTCTTAAAGCTGTCAGAAATAAACACATTTCATTAAAGGAAACATTTCTAAAACATTTCTGAACCAGATGTTGGTTTAATCAACTGACTGAAGCAGCTTGAAGTAAAGAAACACATTGTCTGGTTCATCTGTGGAAATCTTGTATGAAAAGTGCATTAATGAGTGAATGTTTACGGTGATCAGGCTGATCAGATGGCAGATATTATGGCTGTATGAATAATTAATATTTATATGATGCTATTAGTGATTTTCAACATCTGAAAATCCTCATCAGAATAAATACATCAGATGAAGATCTTTTATCTTGGTAACAATCTCCATGAGCTGATTCAGCATTTTAATAACAGAACAGATCAATGATTATCTAAGATCTTGAAAAGTACAATGAATGACATCCATCTATTTTCTGACATGCTTGTCCCTAGTGGAGTTCTGGTGCCTCTCCACTAGGGGTCAGGTGGTGTCACCCCAGACAGATTGCCCATCCGTCGCAGGGCAACTCAGAGACAAACAGGACAAACAACCATGATGCAGAACCCACACAGTCACAGGGAGAACATGCAAACTCCATGCAGAAGATCTGGAATTGAACCCAGGACCTTCTTACTGCATGGCAACAGTGCAAATAAATATCCATTCTGCATATTGGCACAAGAATCAGGAGGTAAAGATTACTCTTTGTCAATTTTAGGGGATTTTGTCTGTGATCCAACATAGAACTGGATCAGTAATTTAGCAACAATGCAATGATTAGAGTGACGGATCAACCATCAGAGGAGTTGGATCAGAGGAGCTTCCTCTTCTTCTCATGTCTTCTCTGTGATCCTGAACTTGAGATCTTCCTGTTGGGGACACAGAACAGTCAGTCAGACAAACAGTCAGACAAACAGTCAGACAAACAAGAGAGCCAGAAAGTAAAGCAACCTTTCACTTTGAGACCGACTGTTTTCACTCTCCAGATAGTCCTGCTGTCGAATATGCATTTATAGTCTCCACTGTCTGCCTCTGTGGGTTGCTTCAGAGTCAGGCTGAGGTCTCCAGAATCCAGCAGGTCTTCATTCATCATGGTTCTGCTTCTGAAGAACTGGGCCTGTTCTTCAGGCTTGTCAGAACCGTTTATGTTTATGGACCATCTTGTCCAAAAAACTCCATTCCACATGGGAATCTCCCGGCAGCTGGCGTGTCGTCCTGAATGGCAGCAGGACAGACTCCGCCCCCTCTACCACCTCCACCTGGCAGACTGAAAGAACAACAAGGATCAACATGAGCTGTGCAAAACGTTGCAACTCATCTTTAAAATGTTGTTGAATGATTTCAAACTCCAGGAAGAGGAACCAGATCAGATCAGAGGTAACAGAAAAGTTCTGCAGAGTTCTGATGGTATTGTGATATTTGGCCCATGTGCTGCTGCTGCTGCCAGCTGCTTTTCTCACTTTTATATTTCTGGGTCTAAAGGGAAAAACTGCCAAAACCTCAGTGATTGTAGTTAATGGGTCTGTAGAGCATTTCACATAAATCTTTAACATCAACACAAAAGAAGAACTTCATGGCATCACAGTCGCACCGTTTTCTTAACAGATTATATCCACAGAATCCACACAGTTCATTTCTGTTACATCAACACAGCTGATCTGTTCTGTTCTGTTAAAGGAACCGACTGCATTTAATAGCATAAAGAATAAACCACTAACCTTTGACAATGAGCTCTACTTGTTTCTCCACCAGGACGTTTCCATTGCTGCTGTAGACTCTGCAGGTGTAGGTGCTGCTGTCTCCATCTGTTGGTATTTCAAAGTGAGGCTGAGCTCTCCAGTCTGCAGCAGGTCCTCATTCACACTTGTTCTGGCTCTGTAGAACCGATCCTGTTCTTCTGGCTGATCAGAGCCGTCTTTAAACAGATGCACCTTCCTGTATCTGTCCATCAGCTCCACTGTAGCGTCTCTAGGTAGGCGCACTATGGTTTTGCAGGGTAGTAGAGCAGTTTCCACCCCTGAATCTGCCTCCACCAGGCGAACTGAAGAACATAAGCAAATGTGACGTACAAGTCAAGTCTATTTGTTCTGCAATTTTCAGAACATTACATTTAGTCAAATACCATCATCAAAACCATCAATAAACATCAAGTATGATGCTCAATCTTCCAGTTGTTATGAAACAAAAGTAACTAAACAGGTGGGTTTTTAGCCCTGACTTAAAGGATCTCAGTATTTCAGCTGTTTTGCAGTTTCCTGGAAGTTTGTTCCAGCTTTGTGCTGCATAGAAGCTGAATGTTGCTTTTTCATGTTTGGATGCAGAACAGACCAGAACCAGAGGACCTGAGTCCATCACTATTACAGGTTTCTGGCCTGATTGCTGGTTTTTAGTTGTTTTTAGTTGCACTAACTGAAGCTGTGCATTTACTCTATATGGTTCCTCTCTAGGTCCAAAGATAATAAATTCAGTTTGGTTTCTGTTCAGCTGGAGAAAGTTGTGGCACATCCACACATCTATTTGTTCAGGGATTGGATGGAGAGCAGCTGCAGCTCCAATGTCAGACAGACAGAAGGTTTGGTTGGGGACAAGCTATCAGCCAGCAGGGGGCGCTGTGAGTATAAAACGAGGCTCCTTCTCCTGCCTCTTCCTGCTCTGACTTGGTGACACTTCAGATGAGTTTTGTTTGTTTGGTCAACAATATTTATTATCTATTTTATTTAACCAGGTGAACCTGCTGAGATCTAGATCTCATTTTCTAGAGGAACCTGAGCAGAAATCTGCAACTCACAGCAACCTGGAGACAAAGTCAAACTAATTCATACATTTGTACTAATTAATACATTTCCACTAATTAAAACAAATATTAACCCATTTAAAAGACTACAAGTCCCATCAGGTCCTTGTTCTCTGGCTGAATATCATCTGGACTGAGTTCATCCAACCTCTGGAAGGAAATCATGGAAACTTTCTCTGATTAGTTGAGATGTGAAGATTGAATCCTCTGACATTTAAAGCTGCTGGTTTCAATGTTTTGGTGACAGCAGATCAACAATAACATGAAACCAAATCCTGACAGAGGAGAGACTGAAGGAAGAAACCACAGAACCAGACGGACGGATCTCCTGTCATCTAAAGTCCAACAGTCTGACAGAACCAGGTTCTGGTTCCTCCTGACGCCCCAGAGACTCTGATCTCTACCAGAACCAGAACGATAAAAACAAAGAAACTGTTTTGACAGGAGACGCTCTGACATAAACTGTCTTTGAGCTTCATTTTGATCTGTGGAATATTTTCACACAATGTTCTTTATGCTAAAAGGATCAGCAAAGGTCGGCCATGTTTGCTGCTTCATAGTCATTTGATTGGATCATTTTTTATTTCTGCTTTAGCTGCTCAGCGCTCAAAACACAATCAGCTCATCAGATTTTATGGACACATTTAGTAAGAGAGTTTTTCTACCAATTGTCTAGAAATGTATTTATATCTACAGGTTTCAGCATATAGAAGATAACTTCTTCTTTCTGAATGCCAAACCTCTGGTACAGATTAAATCACCATCTCTTGTTTATGCTGAAAAAATAAAATGTAGAATTTAAAACCAAACATTTCTGGTGTTTTATGTTCTACTGAGTTTCTTCAACCTTAAAATCCTTTAAGTCGTTATTTGATGACAATTGGTGCTGAATAAATAAACTGAATTTAATTAAACAGATCACGTTTTACAGCAGTATTTTGATTTTTAAAAAGTTTCTACTGAATTTGTTTCATAATTGGAATAAAAATATAAGAAACAAGATTAATATTCCAGGACTTCTTGATAATCCAGAAAGATATTCTCCTTTCTCAGGACTCAAATCTCTGAGTGACCAGAAAAAGTCAAAGAGGAAAACTGTCACACTTGACCCACATGCAGAAACACAAAGAGGAGATGGAAAATGAATCAGCTAAATAAAGTATATTTTTTCTAACA